TCCAAAATGGTCACGTCAGAACTAGGGATTTCACAAGACTGTGAAGTTGAGGTTGTAGCAACATCCATGGGCTCCGGACCTATTAAAGAAATTTAAAAGGTTCAATATATTTGTTTAGAAACCAATCTAACCTCCAATGAGTTAAATAGAAAAAATCAGTTTCCTTGTCTGAAACTGAAATTTTATAGTTTCTGTACAGTTTTATCTCCTAGATACAACATTCTTGGGTTGCAAATCTTGCTAGTTTCCGCAGTTTGATCTGGCTTCCATGCATAGATTATACCCACCCATTTCCCCAAAGTTTTCTTTATGAATATACTGACTCAGTCTCGTGCTTTTCCCTTCATTCTCTTTATGTTGGAATGGCTTCTAATTTTCATATTAACCTTCTAAAAGATCTGGAAGCACTAACTCTGATATACAACATAAAAAGAGATCTCTCTCAACACTCAAGTTTGCACTGGAATAACAATCAATGACAAATAAGGATTGCAGGAAAGGTAAATTTAGGATTTCCATTGCATAAAAAAAAATGGTGTAGAATTAGTTAATGATTGATTAGCAAACAATGGAACAAGTGAGGGAAATAGAAAGCTCAATAGATTCATGCTGCTTACTGGCAGGTTAACTGGTGGGTAAAGGTTTGACAGAGGTGAGAAAATCTGCAGTATCTAACTGTGAAACTATCAGAAACTTTTTGAAAACATGTTGTTGTCAAAAAGACAGAGGTTTCATATTGCTGTCCGAGCAAATAAATATATTCATTTCGAGAAAAAGAAATTGAGAAGCAATTCAAGAAAATACCAAGGCAAATTGCATAGACCATAACTGTAATATCCCATTATTTCAAAAAATAACTGTAATATCCCAAAAGAAAGATTTTCCCATAAGAAAGAGAGAGGGAGACTGGAGATATTCATAAATCTTTGACCATCTCAGCTTAACCTAAAAGTGGGAGGAAACCAAAAGCTATGACTAGTAAATGAAACCTAATGAATTCTAATTACAACACAGACTGATTAAAATCCAGAAAGATGTTAGGACCAGTTCTTAACAACATAAAAACTACCATAAGCATCAGCTATATAACATTAAAGAAATGTCAGTTATATGGTGCAGCACCAGCAGTTTGGGTTTACAGTTCTATCAAGAACAAATCTTATTTAACCACATGGTTGATGTGACATCAAGCTCACATATGTCACTCAATTTTGATGATTGGCGTTCCATTTAACACAGATGCCCACCTTGAAGACCAAACAAAGAGCTATGTAACAAAAGGGGTTACACAGCTTCTACATGACAAAATGAAAGATCCTGACAACAAACTTAAAATAAAAGTAACAGATATCTCAAGAAAAAAAAAAACCAAGGAAATTAATTCATGTAGAACTATATCACACGATTAAAGGAAGTCTTAACTTTCAAGTCTAGTGCAAATAAACAAAAGGGAATATATGTGTGTGTGTGTATGCATACAAAAAATATATAATATCCAAAAAAGTTTACCTCCAGGAAGTACGTTCTCTTCATTTTTTACAGTATCCTTTTCTTCTTGGTCCATTACCATTTCTCTATCAGCATGATCCTCAGACTGCTTTTCTCGCTCCTTCTCCTTTTCCTTTTTGACCTTCTCTCGTTCCTTTTCCCGGTTTTCTCGGTCCTTCTCCTTTTCATGTTTTTCCTTCTCTCTAACTCGTCCACGATCCCCTTCAATTTCCCTGTCAGGCTCCTTATCTCTATCTTTTTCTCTGTCCCTTTGGAGATTTCTCCTTTTATCTCTTATAATTTGTCGTAATTCATGGACATCCTTTGTAATTAAATCCAAGGGTTGCAAGAATGAGAAATCTTCGTCCATATCTGCATCGCTCTGCAAAACACTTGAGAAAAACCTTGATCAACATAGCATCTAAGTGAGCTAAAATGCAAGCATGCTGAACACATAACTGAACATCGATGATCAAGAAAGAAAGAAGAAACATACTAACATTAGTCAAATTTGCTTCCATCTCCAGGTACTGAAGTCCTTTTTGTACAAATGTAATAAGAGCACCAGGTGGGACCAAATTCCCATCAATACTGCACTTATTAATACCTGCCTCATATCCTAAAGCAAACGCTGAATGTATAAAACCTACAAGACAATAACATTACAAGCGAACAAGTTAGAATATAGTCCTACTTTATTTTGTCAGAAGTAGGAACTCTCAACTTCAAAAACCACATCGTGTGCCATTGTAGATCTTAGACCACACAGTTATTACCATAATGTATTAACTGACAACTGAAACATAATGGACATATTTTGGTAAGAAATGCAAGCACATATTGTGATCACAGCAGAGTTGGTGCTTCTTGTATGCAAAATATAACTAAAAACATACACATATGAACTTTACATGGATTTATCATACACTTGGGGATCCTGTTCTACAATTACCAACTGAAAATTATCGCTAGGTGCTAGCTGCAGATGACACAGATAATTTTACCTGTAACTAAGTTATCACCAAAACATTTGTGTGCTTTATTTGAAGAACCTACTCATAACTTCCAAGGTATGGTTGTAGATCTAACTTAAAACTGAAAGTAGATTTATTCATATTGCAAACAACTATCCCAAAATAACCCAGGCCGAAAATGCTTCAAAACTTTGATGTCTAGCCTCGAAACTAAATATATTCTGGAGAAAAATGCCATGTTATTACCCATATACTTACTCATGTATACAAGTTACCTAAATTTGAAAATTACAATTTACAATTATAATGAACAAAAATTAAGGCGGGCACCACCTCAACATGTGAAAGGCAGAGGCGCGTACATAATCAGCAAACGAGACCATAAATTTCTACAAATACCCTAACGGCAAAAGCCCAGCATAGGAAAAGCATCAACGTTCAAAGATCTACAAGCTATCAGGTCGTTTAAGCACGGTAACAAATTAAAATTAATCCAAACTTGTCTTTTGATGAAACCCTAGCTGCATGTAGGTAAATTAAGAGCAAAAGTAACGCCGACATGCCAAGTACAGCATTCAAACCCGAAATCCACCAAAAGAAGCCCTAAAATGCGTCTAAACATGCCAAGAAAAAAGGGACAAAGATGACATTACTTCAACAAAACAGAACGAGCAGAACTTGTAGCTATAAAAACAACAAAACGAGAGAAATTAATTGGAAGCTGCAGCCGACCTGATTCTTGAAGGTACCGAAAAACGAGGTAATTTAATTCGACGGATGTGATTGAGGTCATTGTTGCAGAGTCGCCGTATTCAACGGACGAAAACAATCATATGTGACTCAGTGGAGACTATTACACAGAGAGAGAGAGAGAGAGAGAGAGAGAGAGAGAGAGAGGAAAAAAGAAAGACTTGTTTGTCTGGGAGGCCGCACGGTGATTTTTATTTCTCAGAGGCGGAGAAGCTCCGGAAGCGGTATATCTCTCTGAGTTAGATTAAAAGCACGTAATTGGTTAAAAACAAAATAATAATAATAAATAATAAAAAAATATCCCAACTACGAAGAGCATGATTAGCTCATGCATTTTCTTTTTTTAATTTTTTATTTTTTGTCTGAAAAATTAAATAATAATAAGGAATCAGAAAATATATTTTATATATAAAGTCTGTTCATAGTGGGCCCACGGCCCAAATGTATTTCTGGGCCCAATGCCCTGGTAGGATGCGGGTTTTCGTGTCTGCATTTGGATTTGTGACTTCTGGTTCAGGCCTTTTTTATGGGCCGAAGTTTTGCTCTTAGATCAACTTTATTTATAACTTAATTCATCCACTTATTTGTATTGTTTTTAAGTATTTTATAATTAGTATTTATATTATTTTTTTATTTTTTAATTAGTTTATTTTTATATTGTTTTTACTATTTGGCATCGAATTATAAATGTAATTATTTTTTATTAATCTTAAGTGATATCCATTGATTATATAAATAATATATAAATAGTAATTACAAGTGATATGCATTCATTCATAAGTGATATTGTAAATATTAATTATATGTGATACATATTTATTAATGAAGTATGAACGTTAATCATAACAAAATATTAATTGTAAGTTATTATATTAAGTAATGAGTGACATATAAATATCAATTAATTAAGTGAAATATGAATATTTATTATAAATGATATGTAAATATTAATTATAATATAATAAAAAATAATTGAAAGGACTCCAAGAAATTTATTTTTGTCTTGACAAATCAAAGCTGTGGAAAAAATTTGCAGCCATTGAAAAATTCAACCAAGAAAATTTGTATCCATATTAGAATTTTGTTCTTAGGAAAGAAATTTCTACTAAAATTATTGACTAACAAGTAACTGTTCCTGTAAAAAGCTTATGGATCCACCAAACTCCATTCAGAAATAATGAGAAACCCAAACATGGAAAACCCAATCCTTCTTTACATCTCCCTCGCTCTTATCTTCATCTTGTTCCTCCTCAAACTTCTGCAATTTTCAAATTCCAGAACCAATCAAAAGCTTCCTCCAAGTCCAACTGGTCGCCTTCCCCTTATCGGTCATCTCCACCTCTTAAAGCACCCGATTCACCGAACTCTACATGGCCTCTCCCTAAAGTACGGTCCAATCCTGTCTCTCCGTTTCGGCTCCCGCCTTGTCTTCCTCGTCTCTTCGCCGTCTATCGCTGAGGAATGTTTCACTACGAACGACGTCGTTCTGGCCAATCGCCCCCGCCTGCTCATGGGCAAGTACATAGGCTACAACAACACCACAATGGTCGCGTCCCCTTACGGCAGCCACTGGCGCAATTTGCGCAAAATCGGCTCGATTGAGATCTTCTCCAATCACCGCATCAACATGTTTTCGTCCATCCGCAAAGACGAGGTCAAGCGGCTCCTCTGCCGACTCGGCCGCGACTCGCGCGGGGGTTTTACGAAGGTGGAGCTGAAATCTGTGTTCACGGACTTGACACTGAATAACATGATGAGAATGGTTGCAGGGAAGAGGTACTGCGGTGATGGTACGAACAATGAGGAAGAAGCCATGGAGTTCAAGGAAATTTTGGCGGGAGTTATTAAGCTTGGCAGTGCATCGCATCCGGGTGATTTCTTGCCAATACTGAACTGGTTTGGGCATAGTTTTGAGAAAAAGTTGAAGAAGATGGGAGAAAGAATGGATAGATTTTTGCAGTGTTTGATCGATGAGAAAAGAAATAATGGAGGGGGTAACACCATGATTGATCACTTGCTGACTCTGCAACAATCAAAACCTGAATACTACACCGATGAAGTGATCAAAGGGCTCATCTTGGTTAGTCAATTTATTTTCGTCTCCTTTCTAGTTTAACAGATCTTTCTGGTTTATCTCTGGTTAATTTTAT